AAATATATATATACTTTCGCATAAATAACACCTGAAACTCATACAACGTAACTGTGGTAGTTTACTGACGTAGTGGATAGAGTTCTTACTTTCTGAATCGGATTTCAGAGGTATCTTCATCATTCATCATTTAACGCTCGATTTATTTGATTTTTGATTACAGCTTGATTCCACACTGTATTTTTGGTACAAGTATGTAATTTTCAGCATGGATATCGGTAGCCCGAATTTCGCAGTCCGACCATAGATATCAGGTGTGCGTCGGCGTGGGCTCGAACCCCGGATCATGTGCATGGTCGGCGAGAGTCCTAACCACTGTGCCATCGGAGGTCTATTAGCACTGCGTGAGGTTAAGTGCAAAACAGCTGTATAAGTTTATGTCATGTCCTAACTTTTCTCTGTTTATGAAATAATCAAACTTCCTTAGAATACTGGGAAGCTGTTTTGTCAGCCTAGTTTGGGACTCTTCATCAGTACTCTCTCACTGCGGCTAGAACACAGGACCACTGAATCGAGTCCAAGTATCGTTGTAACCAAAAGGTCTTTACCCAGCCTTTCCAATGGTTCTCTAACTGATGTCAGCTCATGATGAAATCCTGTAACCAATCAGTCAAATCTCTACAAACCACTACTTGAACAATCAAACTTCCAATGGTTGAATGATGTTCACAATTATTTTCATTTGAAGGGCTTACTGTAAAACTTGCTGATGATAGTTTGAGTAATCTAGCAAGGCATTAAGACATTCGTCAATTGGAAGTTTAGTTTAGAGAAAAATTCATTCTGAACAGATTTCTAAAGACAGTGGAGGCTTCAGCCATTCATAAAAATACATTATTGACTATGGATATCTGGTGTTATATTTAGAAGTTGACCTGCTTGTTTGATTCATGTGAGAATAGTCAGTTAGTTTTGAAATAATAGAGAAAATTTATAGTTCAGGTGGATGATTTGCAATTATTAGTGTTCTGTGAGCCGGTTGGTTTAGTTGAGGAGCTCTCGTCGTCCCCTGCTGGACAATATCTCCTTTCATCGCAATATTTAGCACAAAATGAAATGATTTAAATTTCTTCATGAGTGATATAAATGCGCCTTCCCGTAACCATATGTAATGACCATTTTCCTTTGACTTGGATTTTAAATTTTCTGCTCACCTGAATTACTTTTTATTAGTTGGTGGTATATTTGGTCTATATTAACATGTTTGTTAATTGCATATTCACCAACAAGGAATCATCATCAAAGATCACACGAAAATTCCTCCTACAATACATGAAAAATATCTGTGAATACTGAAACCGTTTGATATAGATATAGCACACAAGCCAGCCAGTCAGTCAAATCGCTTAATTCGATATTATGCAAACCGAAAGACCCATCCAACAGAAAAAGGAGAAAAAAGGAGATTAATACCATTTACAAAATAAATTGCATGTATGAACTGTAACAGGCATTACATCGGTGGTCGAAGTGGGCGCCACTTTCGCATCAGAATCCAGGAATATAAATCAGCCGTGAAAAGACACGATATATACATTCCTGTTTCATATCAATGCATATAGACAATTATGGACATCAGTTTGATGATTGGGATAATATCGAAATCTCAGACAGAGGAAACACCACGAGAAGTGCAGTCAGGGTACTCAAACACGTTGACATAGACCAAATATACCACCAACTAATAAAAAGTAAATTAGGTGACCAGAAAGTTTCAAATCCAGGTCAATAGAAAATGATAAATACATATGTAAAGATGGTTGGTCACCAGGAGACGCAATTCTATCACTTATGAGAAACTGAAACCATTTCGCTTTATGTTAATTATTGCGCCAAAGATGTTGTCCAGCAGTAGGGGGACGACGAAAGCTCCGCAACTGAACCAACCAGCTCAGAGAACACTAATAATTGCAATTCAATTAGTTTTGTTTTTCCTGTTAAGCCAATTACTAACACTTTTCGAATTTTCCTTCAAACTTGTAATGCATAACTAGTTGACTTTCGTGTCAGTTGAAATTGGTTATGCTCTTGTTCCTCCACCCATTGTTATTTCTTTAAAATACAATACTCATGCCAAAGTTTTCCTGAACAGAATAAAGAATCCAATTTTCGATCATGAATTGATTGCCTTTCAGAGAACAATTGGAAATCTAAGATTACTGGCCAGTAATTCCACCCCAGGCTTGGAACTCTTCGTACATTGGCATCCATAATCGAAATCACTGGTCATTCAGCCAAATAAAAAAGGATCCATTGGCATGCCCATGGATTTCAACCTCTATGAATTCGAGGTTGTCAGGAGCCAGTGCCGACTTATGTCTTCAGCAAATATCTGTCTTCACAGCCGACTTCATAAACTTAACCGGTCATGACGTCTCACCAGAACTCTACGAAGCTCGATCCTGTAGTCAGTTACTGGTTGATTTTCAGCTGTTAAAACGTAGGGATTGTAATTCACACTAAAGTATTATCACATATTATTATCAGAAGTTAGACTACACAGACTAGCCGTCGGATTGCATCCCAAAAGTGGCTGAATGCTCAACAACTTCTCTTCGTAACCTGAAGGCCCTGGCTACGATTCTTGCCAGTGGAGTCAAGGCTTCAAACATCAGAAGAGTCCCAAACTTGAAAACTATATTTAAAAAACAAAGTTAAATAAGTGAATAAATATAAATATTTGAGTTTCAGGATTTCATCATGAGCTGACATTAGTTAGAGAACTATTGGAAAACCTGGGAGTACTGGACAGCTGTTTCAACACTGTAGTTTGGGGCTCTTCAGCAGTACGCACCCACCGGAATTCGAACTCAGGACCTTCTTATTACAAGGCAAGCTCGTATACCATTAAGCCACTGAGACCCGATCCAATGGTCCTTGAATTCTAACTTCTGCCAATTCACGACATATTTGAGTCCTCCTTCAAGACCAGACCAAAACTACGAAGTTTCTGATTATCTGAATGACCACATAGTAGTCTTTGTTATTTGAGCAAATTTACTACCGAACATTTATTGAATTTATGTCGTCATATGTTCAAAGATGGAAGAGACATGCCATCACATATATATGCGTATTAGAACTTATAACGGCGATAATAACCGATATTCATTTGCTTGTTTAAATGTTATCCAGAAATTTACGTTCTTTCACAACTATACCCTACAAATGGGTTCCAAACTGTTGCAGGTAGTTGAAGCTGACTGGCTAAAATACTGAGTGAGTCAGTCTGAACTGTCAGCCCTTGAATCAGTAAATATCTTGAAAGAATATCAAAGTATTTAGTCAACGATCGTTATTCCGATAAATTTCACTAATCTCTTGATTAAGATTCTTGTATTTCAACACTTATTTTTAATAGAAAAAAATCCTCATTTAGACATTTAGAAAACAGAAAGATTGAGCAGCGAAGAAATATTCACTTTCCAGTTAGATCCGTATCTCACTCTGGCTGTACTCTAATTTGACACGTATAGCATTTTTATTATTACAATACACAACAGTTTACCAATCAAGTAAGTGGCACTGATATGTTTGTTAACAATAATTAGTCAGTCAGTGTCAAAATGTCAAGCAGTGGAGTGATAATTAACGAAGAAAATTAAAATACACAATTATAAGGTTGAAATGGTTGGAATAAATTTAGTTTACAAGGATAATACGTAAATTAAAGATGAAGTGATAAGAAAAAATAAATGAAATAATTTGGACAATTATAACTTTTATAATTTTAAAGGTTTTTGGGGGGAGGGCGGCGAATTAGTCCGGTTTATACATTCATGTAACAATGGCCAAGGAAGGTAAGGAAATTGGCTATGCAAATTTCTTCTGAAGACACAGATTTGGCTTGTTCTTCAGGTGGATTCCTATTGCTTCAGCTGTAGGTATGTAGAAGACGAACTCGTAGAGCAAAATTAAGATTAGTAGGAATGCGATAGATAATTTTAAATGCTGGATTAACATCAACCTTATGCTCACTATCTACAAGGTGGGCTCAAACAGGCAGCTACGAATAGATCTTGTTTGTCCGTTGCCTAACCATGTTGGATGATGTTCGGAAATATGATGATTAGCCTGCCTAATTATACGCCATATGTAACTGGCTCCACAGCTGCAGTCAAATACGTAGAGGAGGCAAATTTAGGTAGTTTATCCTTATTTCTCGAAAGAATAATAGGGGTGGTTGTGAAGAGACAACGTACCTCTGCTGCATAATGGGCTCTTTTAACTGCATTCTTCAGGCGCTGTGTTATTATTTCGCTGGTGTTGTCACCAAGAAACTGCAGTTTTATGAACATTTGTTTTTTTGGGAACTGTTGCTATACTGACTCTCTTAGGTGCTGCTGAATTCATATTTTTCTCGATGAACTTATCTGGATAACCATTTTTACTAACTAATTCTCTAGTAATCTTATGTTTCTCATTGAGGCAGTCGTCTGGACAGGTTAACCTAGCTATATGAACCAGACACTTTACCAGGTTACTTTTATATTTCAAAGGTGCAAAACTCGAAAAATGACTGTGTCCACCTGTTGTTGTAGGTTTCCTATTCACACTCCTTCTTAGTGTGCCATCTGCGTTCCTTGCCATGAAGATGTCTGGGAATGAGATACTGTCATTACTTTCTTTCTCTATGTCAAAGTTTAATGCTGAATGTACATCATTAAACTTGTCAAGGATATTCATTGCATCATACTCGTCTTCCATAACCAGAAATGTTTCATCCATACATCGACGGTGGTCCATTCTGTAAAACTTAGCGAGGAAAAAATCATCTAGGATTGAACCTAATGGGGAACCCATAGCTTCACCATCAATTCGTCTGTAGTATTCCTTATTGAATAAGAAATGAACATTCATTGTACATCTTAAAATAAGTTCCTTCAAGGAGGATACATAAATGTCAATGTTTTTATTTTATTCATAATTTATTTATTTTATTTATATTACTTATATTGTCTGTCTTCTTTTAACGACCCCTCCCCACTCTCATTGAATAGATCTCTACGTTGTGTACGCAATAATATTCATACACACTTAATGATTGCTATTCTACTGCGTGCTGTTTCATGGATATGCTTGGCTATACTGAATACAACAACCTTGGTAAGTAAATGGTAACCTGTTTATTCTTCTACTGTTTTAACAGTCTTCCATGAAGAAGAAGTGAACACAAGTATCGTTGTTGTGTGGATACGTTGTCAGTCAACCTATTATTATTATTGGTCCCTTGGATTCCTAGTGGGACATACGGCTTCAACTGCACGTCTTCACTTGCTTCTGCTGTACTTTTCACCTGCATCCATCCATGTTAGTCCATACTGTTTCAACTCCTCTTCACACCATCTCCTCCATTTCACCCTTGCACTGACGTCCCACTCGCCCATTCCCTTTCGGCCTGGTTCCACTCGAGCAATGGCCTGACACAAGCGCGATGTCACCCAGCGGCCTCCTCAGCGATTGTTCAGTACATCTCCACTTTCTCCCACATATTTGTTGGGCGATTGGTTCTTGTTCTGATTGTTCCCATAGTTTCTTGTTGGTGATTCTTTCCGGTCATCTTGCAGAGTCCTCAGTCATCCTTCTTTGGTACCTGTTCTCATACAGAGAAGCCTTCAGTATTGCATCTTTATTTGTTCAGTGACGCCTCCTTTGGGTCACATATTGGTTGATGTCTGTCAATTGATCTGGTTATTAAGGCTCCTTTCTACTATAGGAGATACTATGATGATATGTAATAATTGTGAAAATGTGAGCCATCCACTGGAGAGAATCAACTCTACATAAAATCATATAAGTCTTACATGCAAGGAGAAGAAGAAAGCCCGGCCAACTAACATTTTTTGGCTTACCACTGAATCAGACAGACGATGGCTTGATAAAACGGTCAGCTTATAAAGAAAGCCTACTTGAACAGCACAATGCCTTAATTTTCACAGCTTCTGTCCACTACAGAATAAGAGAGATTTGGTTAATTGCTTAATTCAGGAGGATTCAGCGTATTTTCGAAGTTGATTTTATAGATGACAAAAATAAAAAAAATTCTGATGAATAGTGTTCTAGAAATGAGATATTTCAAACAATTAGTCCATTTTTTTTAATAAATTTTGATAGTGTTGATATTTGAAGACGGAGACTATCTGGAAAATGGGATGTGATATATTTGCGCTGTACATTTTAAACCACCTGATCCCTCACACATCTCCTTGTCAAGTCGATATATATATATATATATATATATATATATATATATATATTAAAATAATAAAGGGCAATTAAATTAAACAAAGTGACAAAATAATTTGAGAATTATCAACACAACTTTTGGCAATCTAATCAAATAAGGATCACCAAGGTAGGGTAAGAGCAGTAATTAACTGTTTTTTTAACAAACAAGGGAGGAGGTGCTTAAGTTTATGAATAGCTATAGCCTCAGCGTATTTCAATAAGCGCCCTTGACCGTTTTTATAGATGACCTTAAAGGCTGAGTTAACATCACTCTCATGGTTCACCTCGATTAGGTGTTTAGCTATAGACGAAGTTGGTGGTAGTCTGACACCTGCATCTATTCGCTTGTCTCAATTCATCTGTTTTTCTAACCATTTCGGGATATGCTCTCCCACGCTAGCATGCAAAGCACGATTACTTCTCCATATGTATGTGCGACCACATACACACACACGAAAAATGGTGAATAGTGTGGGGTGTGACATAATCACTTGTGTACTTTCGAGGTTTGCAGTGGAGCATATTTTTAGCTTTTTTGACAATTACAAGCTGGGCTGCATAATAGGTTCTACGGATGATCGAATTCAACCTTTGTCTCAAAATCCTACTGTTTATTTCCCCGTTATATGGTAATCTGATGCAAACATTTTTCTTAGGGGCGGTAAAAATTGTAGGTTTAGAGACTAATTGACTTCTAGACCTGTTTAACAATTTTAAAGGATATCCATTTGCAACAAGAGTATCCATCATATATGTCCAAATCAAGTTCACTTTTAACAGTTTGAAAAACTTGGCCATTGTGTATATGATATTCATTATAATAAATGCTTGTTTGTACTTCCCATTCAATGAAAAGCAATGAACGATATTGTGGTTGTTTTTACTGACATTTCTTTATTTAATGCTGCTGCTAATAGCTTTATCAAAGTATTATTAATTAAACCGGAATTTACAAAATCTCAGCATGTATCTAACAAAGAGTTAAGGGGTGAGACAATAGACTGCCTAGGTCAAGTTAAAAGGCAGCCATATTGAAAGTCAAAATAACAATGAAGATCACTAAACCAAATAACAAAGGTAATAGTACATCTGTTATGATATCAAAACAAAGTTTATTAACTTGATCAACATTCGTCAGTCTGGGGTCATTTTTCGTTGTCAAGTTGGTCAATTGGTAAAGATAACAAAATCAAGTGTAGATTGTTGGATTTTGTCAGTAAGCAAAATTATAAAAGTAGTGTGTGTTCACATAGTGAACTTGCTTAACACATTCGTGGTGATTTTGTCACTTCATGTGGGACGGAGGCGTTGTAACCAGGTCAGATTCTGCTTTAGTCCATCACTCCTATTCAGACAATTTGGATTCCACTTGATATCAAAACGATATCATCTACATATCTCCTATAGAAGGGCCATTTAGAAATTAAATCAAGGGACAAGTTCTCCACATAAGACGTGTGATCGTCCGCTAACAAAGATCCTAATGGATTCCCCATAATAACACCATCCACTTGTCGAAAATGTTCACCTTCAAATATGAAATTGACGTTTTCAGTACATAATAGTAATAAATCTCTCAAATAAGTTAAAGGAAAAGGGAATGAAAAATAACTAGAAGATATATAGTCACACAGGATATCACCAGTCTTAATCAATGTTACATTAATAAACAAAGAATTAACATCAAATGAATACATTTTCCTACCATTTATGTTCATATCTACAAACAAGGTAGTCAAAAAGTTCAAATGTATCTTTCAAAGTAAACTTATATAATTCATTGCTTATTGGACTTAAAACATCAGCCAACCATTTTGCTAACTTATGTGTTGGAGAGTGACACATTGATAGCATTAGACGCAATAAATTGCCAACCTCATGAATCTTGGGTAATCCATGAAGGTTTGGAAAGTTAGATCCCATGCGTTCAAATTGAAGTATGCGCTGAAGATGTCACAAAGTAGGGTGATGAAAGCTTCGTAAAGCAACTATCCAGCTCAGAGAACACAACCACATCAAAAACTACTTCTGTCCATTACAACTACACCAGCTCTTATGTCAAGTTTCAGAATAACCAAATCGGATCTGTTACATAATTCTTTTAAGGCTTTAAAATGAATTGATGCCTAAATGATTTTTTGTTTTCTACTCGAATTACAGAATTGATGTGCTCTTTCCACAAATTTAGCTTTCAACCAACTTTGGTCATTCTGCCGAATTAGGAACTAGAGAACTCAACTGATCATATGAATTTTCAAACTGAGAGCCAACTACTAAAGGCAGATATTCTTCAAAATTTTTAAGCCGGTGTCGAAGTCAGTTCATTTCAAGACTCAAAGTTTATTCCGTACCTAATGCAGTTACCTTCATCAATTCCTCTGAGCTATATGGGAAATAAATAGTAGCATATTATAACAGAAACTAAACTCAGTCATCCGTAGAGCTCGTTATGCAACCCGGCTTACAATTCCTGAAAAAAGCTTGTGAACATACTCTACTAGAAACCTAAACAATGGTTTTGTCTGTCACATCCCATATTTTATACACTTATTTTACATGTGTGTGGTTACACACATTCGTATACAGAAGTAATCGTGTTTTGTGTATGATGACAGAATAAAACCTATTCCCCAAATGGTTAGAAAAAACTATCGAACCATGAAAAACTGGCTACCTCAGAGAGCAGCAGACTACCAACTGCTAACTATTGCAGAATATTTTTTATTGATGAGAATCACATATCCTATCAAAAACGTTCTTCAAGATTGTTTATAAAAAGCAGTCAGGGATGTTTCTTTATATATGGGTGTATCATCTTTTATAATGCCTTCTAGTCATACCTGACGAGTTTTAAGAGGGGAGTTTAGGATACAGACAGTATTGATAGGGAGACAATATGGATTTAGAAAAAAAGCGAACACGAAGTTCAGCAAAGATGATGATCTTTTCGGTGATTTAAATACATAATTTTACATCACTACAATTCTTGTTTGATTCCACATAACTACGAAGGTGAATAAAAGGTGATAATTATTTTCAACTATATATGGTTTCCGAGGGAAAGCTTGGAAACATAATTACACAGGATTAGAACGAATAACAAGTGTGTATAGAAAATGAGCATTGAAACAAAATTGAAATAATAATAATTTTCAACTTGAGATGGAAGTTAGGAGGTGTGAATATAGATAACAAGAGCCTTAGAAACACAAAAATTCCACAGGATTAAGACGTAAATTTAAAATAGTTATTTTGTGCGTCGGTGGCACAGTGGTTAGGACTCTCGCCGACCATGCACATGGTCCGAGGTTCGAGCCCACGCCGACGCACACCTGATATCTATGGTCGGCATGCAAAAATTGGGCTACCGATATCAATGCTGAAAATTCCATACTTGTACCAAAAATACAGTGTGGAATCAAGCTGTAATCAAAAATTAAAAAAATTAAAAAAAAGTCAAACGAATTATAAATGTGAACAGGAAAAGCATAGAAACAAACTTAACTTTTTATTTTTGATAGTGTGAAATATTCCCATACCACATGAATTAAAAGTCAATGTGAACGAAGAATATTCTTTTCAGTAATTTCTCCTATTCAGGCTCTTGCAATTATAAAATATAAGATATATATACATATGCTGTCGTTACAATAAAGATAGCCAGTTATGCGGTGGATACATTTTTAACGTAGAATAACAGATTAGTTATGGGGTGTCAAAACGAATAGTGGTGCGTCGGTGGTACAGCTGTTAGTAGGCTCGCCAACCATGCACATGGTCTGGGGTTCGATCCCCGGCTGCCAACGCACTCCTTTACCTCAATAAGCCAGAAATAATGCTGGAAAAGAGGAAAGGTTGGGCATGAGGCTGGTTAGCAA